TCGTTCAACGTTGATGTTATTAAACTTATCAGACGTTACGAAAAAAATTTACATAAATAGACAACACTTGTCTATATTATTTAATGAAACGTGTATGAATGAAAAGATGCTGCCTAAATACACACAATATATATATATATATATATATATATATATATATATATTAGGTTGGTGCAAAAATAATGACGTAATAATGTCGTTTTTGACGTTAAAAAATACGTCAAAAACGACATTATTACGTCATTATTTTTGGTAATTCAATATATATATATATATATATATATATATATATCGGTTCTTTTTGTTTCAAAGATTTATTTTAATGGACTCATACTCCGAGTCTATCGTGTTTGAGGGCATTTCTGAAGACATGCGTGTTTTCTCTCAACGTACACAAGCCCGCAACTGACTAATACAATCATCGATCCGAGGATATTAATGATTATCACGAGAATATATTTTGCAACAAGATTGGTGCTTACTTGAGATTGGTAATCATTTTAAGATAGCCGACGACTGTGCAATGTGTGTTAACACAACGACGCCTCATTCAAATCTGCATGTATTGCAACCAGTGCAACCGCTTATTTGAGCTAATTGCATATCAAAATGCAACAGATGGTTATCGCTGGTATTGTGAATCATATAAACATCGTCGAAGTGTCAGAGAAGATTGATCCTTTTCTATCCGCAGCGTGCCACTTACGCAAATGACATGTTAGTTATATTGCTGGAGTCGTAAAATGGCGCGTCATGCGTAAAACTATGTCGACAGTCTGGAACCTCCGAGGCGTTGTCCACGTCGCATCTTCACAAATCCAGGTGCCTTCAGTTTCCTGTAGCCTCTAACCGCTTTATCGCTATTTCTATGCAGAGTATTCAGATGAACTACAATCCTCAATTCCACCGGCCCTAAACCTCTCGGCTAAAAACATGTCCATGGATCCCCTTGGTATATATATATATATATATATATATATATATATATATATATATATATATATATATATATATATATATATATATAATGAAGAACTTGGTAATCCGTATGGGTAATCCCAAGGAGGATGAAATTCTGAGAGCTCAATGTAAATCCAGAGCTAATATTTTAAAGAAAAACAGACCGCTTTAAGGTACCATTATGATAATTTATTTCACCAGAGTCCTTTTAAAAGTACGCCGGATCATCAGATAGCACTTTTTGGTATGACGTTTGCTTGACAACCTAACTGTCAGGGTTTCAATTCTCGGTAGCGTATGCGCACTTTGATGAATCACGAAACGGCTGTCCAGTGCTTTCTGTTGAGGTTTCAGATTCGATGAATTACTTTATATATATATATATATATATATATATATATATATATATATATATATATATATACCTAACTGAGGATACCTGGGTTTGAAACCTGGGTAGTCTGGTGGCTTGAATTTAGATATTCCTTATAATAATTTGCTCTACAACTCAAATTTTTGGGATCTTGTATTGAGCGCTTTTTTAGTACACCTCATTACAATATACTATTATAAATTGATATATATATATATATATATATATATATATATATATATATATATATATGTTAGTCGTTAATATACACATACATCTATCTACATATATCTAAAACACACAAATATACATACAAACGTACACACACACACACACACATATATATATATATAAAGATAGATAGATAATATTAGTGGTTAATATACACATACATATATATACATATATCTAAAACACACAAATATATATAAAACGTACATATACATACATACATACATACATAAACACACACACACACACACACACACACACATATATATATATATATATATATATATATATATATATATATATATATATATATATATATGCAAAAATTACCGAGAGAACAGAATTCAGGTAGAACTTAATGTCAGGACAAAAGTAAGGATAATATTAAAAAGGCTTGTACTAGTGTTGTTTGAGGCCTTTTTTTATATATATATATATATATATATAAAAATTAATTAATAATTGTCGAACGTAATCCATTTTATATATATATATATATATAAAGTTGATATATATATACATCGATTTGAAGTCGAGGTATATATATATATATATATATATATATATATTTATATATATAAAATGGATTACGTTCGACAATTATAAAATCAGATTTTGTTTAAGTTATTTTTTATCTATAAAATGACATATATACAGAAAATATATTAAATATATATATATATATATATATATATATATATATAGATAGATAGATAGATAGAGAGAGAGAGAGAGAGAGACCACTGAATTAGCCACGCCTTAGTGCATGTCAATTTTTTTTTTGTAAGAAAATGATTGATTTTCAATTATTGTTATAATTTGTAGAGAAGAATGATGCATTTCAATATTAGTCGATGTTCATGTGCCAATGTGACCTACCATCTTCTTGTTTTCTACTATGTTTTGTAAATTCATTCCCTTATTCAATTCTAAATTTAATTTAAATCAAAGGAAAAAAAAATTCAGTGGGGTTGTGCAAATACAGCTTCATCTGACCCCTTTGCTCTGCATTGGATGCAATACATCATTGAATGAATTGATAAGCATATTTCAACTTTGATATGGCAGTTGAATTGTCGCAACAAATATTTATTGTAAGGCACTACTCACTGATTGGTGATTTGTTGCTCAACTTAACGTCCATATTGTATCATTTTGATTTTACCAATCTTCTGGCTTTCTCGTTCTGTATTTTAGATAGGAGTCATTTCCTTGTTCAAATTTAAATCTAGTTTAAATCAAAGGGAAAAACAATATCAGTATGGCGTTTGTGCCACCGGGTCCCACTTTGATCCAAATTAAATATTCTTATCAAAATACCGGAGGACACATTTCCTTGTTCAAGTTTAAATTTAATTAAAATCAAAGTGAAAAAAAAACTTCAGAGGGCGGGGTCCCCCCTATCCCCTTTGATAAAATTTAAATATTTAACAAGTTGTTTCAGAATATATATGTTTATTGAGGTCTATCTCCAAAACTCTAGGAGCAATTCGATAACAGACAGACAGATGCTACAACTTGATAGATTGATAGATAGATAGATAGATAGATCGAGAGAGAGAGAGAGAGAGGCAGAGAGCGGGAGAGAGAGAGGGGGGTTCAAGAGATACACCAATGGAGATAGAGAAAGGGGGAGAGATTGATTCAACCACATTGAAGGAACATTCGAATGACCTTTACCGCAATCTACTATACAAATCAAATGAATGGAGAAGGCATCGCTGAAGTAGTCAAAAGCTAATACGGCTTCCTATGATTAGAGATATCGATTCGACCTAATAATGATCACCTGTCGTATCTCTGTTTTGCTCAATTAGATGACGTCTTGTCCGAACTTCATATATGTGCCAAGTCCTTTCAAGAGCGTAGGCGATCATGGCTTTCCAGCCAGTTTTATTCTTACTCTGCTTTCCATTGACACAATATAGCGAATCGGTAAGTAGGTTTCACGCTGTTTTATGTTCTGTGCTTTATGCTCTATGCTTTATGTTTCTGTGTTTTATGTTTTATAAATTATGTTTTATTCCATGTTTTATGTTCCATATAGTACCACGCGTGTTTCTGTTGCATATAGTATATCATGTGACTTTGCAATTCTTCAAAGCCTTTCGCCATTATTTGTTTCAGGTATGTTGTCTCGCTTTTATAGTAAGCAGATGTTTTTTTTTTTTTACCAAATTTAAATCTGGTAATTTTGCGATAACTTTCTGATTCTTTTTCCATTATTCGGACTATTGTCCTCATCTTTGTCATCATATTTATTACAACGTTTCGGTCGTTGTACGCTCCGGCCTTCTTCAGGTGGTTGGAATGTCGAACTGAAGCCTTTATTTAGCTCACTGAGCCGATCAAGCATAGAAATGAATACAATATGGGAACCAGTAATAAGGAGTGCCAGAGAAAAGCGATAATAACAACAAAAAATTGCAATATGAGCTCTGGTAAAAGCATGCAATGATATCAGCAAAAATTGCAATATGAGCACTAGTAAAAAATGATGGTTGAAGCATTAGGTTTATAATGCCCATACATTCATACACAGACGTCCTGAAGGACACATTGCACAGCAGATAAACGCGTTGGTTAGATCCAGTGACAGGACCCAAAGAGTGTGAGTTCAAGTGGAGAGCTTGGAAAGGGGAATTAACAGATAACTGATAATTAAACAAGGCACGTGGAACTTACCCCAGTAAGCGAAATTAAGGGTTCAGTTCGACATTCCAACCACCTGAAGAAGGCCGGAGCATACGACACCGAAACTTTGTAACGATGAGGATATTAGTCCGAATAATGTAAATAGTGCACATAATACCTCATCTCAGAAATATAGTTTCTGATTCTTAGGTACAAAATTTAGAGAATAATTGAAAATCATTTCTATTCTCTTTTACACTGAAAAAATGTTCGTTATTATTAATAGCAGTAGTAGTAGTCCTAAAGTAATCTATATAATAAATACGAATAACAGTGTGTCACTGTGTCACACTTTTTCAACTTTGCTTCTGGAGGCCGTAGCACAAACATATTCCATTTTGGAATCATGCTGACTCCTTGAGTAAATTTAAAAACATTCCAAGCCGGGCCCGGACTCGCAATCCTGAAATTTTCGATTCCCAAGTTACTGCGATTATTTTCGGCAATTTTTTTTACATGATTTTTTTCTCACTTATTTTTGGCGAGGGGGGTGAATGTTTGTACGATAACAATTTTTATAATTTTGAAATGAGTCTGGAAATAATCGAAATTAATGGCGAAATCCAGCGAAAGTCACACGTCAAAGGAAAATAATTGTTTGCACGGAAAGTAAGGACCTACGTACATCAAACTGTCTTTAAGTGGCGTCAGACGAATTACCATTGGACTTTTAAAAGGTAAGCTTAAATATTAATGCAATACTTAAATACAGCGAGATCTTCTGTAATTTATTGTTGCCTAT